AGTGGATATTCTGACCCCAAATTTTGTGAATATGCTCTCTATAATTTTCTCCGATTTTCTCCGAAATTTCAGCGAGATTGGTTCATTCTCCGCGGTTTTGCGAAATTTTCTCCATTTCTCCGAATTTTTCTACATTTTGGTGAATAACCCCATAATTATTCACTTTATTATCATTCGAAATGGAAGTTTTTGTGTTCTGGACGCTTGTAGGAGTCTGTAAAAAAATTCACTGCCAAGAAAAAAAACTCAATTTGAAAGACCGCGCACATGTCTCGACAACGAAATCCTAGTCCTCGCGGCCGTGTAGTCCTCGTGGACAACTATACAAAAACTCTTGTTTTTAATTTAATTGGTTTTTAACAAATATTCAAGCACGTTTCAACCGATAATTTTTTAGAATATGGATCAAGACGAAGAAGAATTATCAGCAACACCACCACAATCATCAAGATCTGAAAGTGAAGGTCCATCAGATGCACCGGAAAGCGTCATTGAAACGATAGAGCCTGTTGTTATTTTGGCAGCTCCTATTCAGCAGCTCCCAGCTATTTCACTTTCCGGAAACAATGCACAGCGAACACTTTGGATTGGAGATGTTCCTACTGATTGGTCTGAAGACACGTTGAAGCAAGTTTTCACTGTAAGTTATAGCCACTTTCATTGCATGTTTTCTATTTATACAATTTTTAATTCAGGAAAGCAACCACCCGCCATATAAAGTGAAGCGAGTCTATGTCAAGGACGAGGTACTATTTTCAAGTTTTTTCTACATCTTTCTTTGTTTTACAGCTGAAAGGATATTGCTTCATCGAGTTTGTAACATTCGAAGAAGCTCGCCAAGCCTTGTTCGATCTGAATGGAAAGAGAATTACCGGTTTCAAAGATATTCGCTTCAATTTGTGTTTTGCGAACGATAGTTACAATCCGTAAGTGATTTCGATTATACTTTCTTACCTGTAATTCAAATTCAGAAACTCGGAATTCAATCTCCACGTATCAAGTGTTCCTGAAGAAATGTCAGATGCCGAATTATACCGGATTTTCGACAAATATCATTCTTGCCGCGGAGCAAAAATGTTTCGATACATCGATGGAGCTTCCAAAGGCTCCGGATTCGTTCGTTTCGGTAATCAAACCGATCAACAAATGGCGTTAGTGGAGATGCATCGAACACGAGTTGGAAACAAAAGAATTATCTTGAAACTGGCTGGTTCTCGCGGTGAAAAGCTTGATCGAAACGAGCCTAGCTCATATAGATCTCAAAGAAATGAACGGCATCGTCCCGAAAAATCAGTGAGTTCGAAATAGAAAACTAAAACTGAAGTAACCTAAATGCATTCAGCATCGAAACGGAACATTAATACCAACTGCACAGCACGTGTACGATGCTTTTGGAAACCCAGTTGTTGTTCCAGTTGACAAAAATATCTACGGAACTGACCATCCATGGGGACCGTTTCCCGATGATCCGGATCTCGATCCCATTATTGGACTTGATCTTCTGAGTGAGTTTTTCTTATTATCAGTGTATTCAGTACTCGTGATCGTATTCGTCACCGAGTGCGGACTGGTGCGGTATGCTGTTGCGCTTTAACACGGTCTCCCAGAGTGAAAATTTTTGGAAAAGTTCTCTCGTTGTCTGCACTCTAGCTAAATTTTATTTTTTCACGCGCCTCCCCCTTTCTCTCGTCTTTTTGACTAATAGAAACTTATCACCAGAGTCATGGAAATTACAGAAAAGTACGAAGTTGAGCTATTTTTAGAGGAAAAATTATTTGCTGTGTTACCGAAGACTTCAGCTATCAGCCGCACAAAATTTTATAAAAATTTGAGCATTTTGAGCGAAGTTATGAATCACTAAACACCGACTGGCAAAAAACCGGTTTCATTCAACCGTACATAAGTCTATCAGGTTTTTACGGAATTGAAGAAATAAAAACGTCATCAATACCACAGAAAGATTTGCTACAATTGCTCCATCTTCGATTTTTGATTTAGGTCCTCATTTTCTTGAAAATCTTGAAAAAGTGTCAAAAATCGGGGTTTTTGAGAATTTTGTACTGAAATTTGTATCCTGCAAAACTCTGCGAGTATCCAACCGATTATAATTATCAATAGACCAAAATTTTTGTAATGGATTGTTCTACAATTCCTCCGTCTTCGATTTTTGATTCGGATTTGTTCCGGTGTTAGGGGGTCAAACAGTAGTACATTGAGCGATTTTGGACTTTGGAGGCAATTTCCATTTGGTTAAAAGTTGTTTTTTTTTTTGCAAAAAGCAATCAAATATCTAATTTCCTATGTTTTCTAACATGATAGTAACTTAATTTGCTCATAGAGCAAGAAGAGTTGCTTAAAAACTCGGAAAATCCAAAAAAGTTTTTCAAAGCTTCATATCTTGCTTGATAGTTTGAGACAAGTCTTGAAACTTCTTACAGACAATCTCGGATATGATTTCTATCACCCATAAAAATATTTTCAGAAAATATCCATCTTTGAACGTTTTTGAGACGTTCTTAGCTGTTCATCCATTTTCCAATTAAATCTGTGAAAAATTATACTGATAAAATAGCGTGAGAGATGAAGAGACGCAGAGACATTTTTCCTCTAGTTTTCAAATCAACAATTTGAAAAAGAGACCGTGCTTTAATGAGAAGAAGATTTTTCGAAGTTTTAACCCGTGAAAAATTCAAGTTTCTCTCAAATTTTAGTTGATTTTCCACCTCAAAATTAATTTTTTAAAGACCTAAAATTTCGTTACGTTATTTTCTCATTAAAGCGCAACAGTATACCAACCGTGTGATTAGCGATAAATTTCAATTTCCAGCCACCAAATATCGCCCTCAAATTTCCAACAAACGACTGATGATTGACACCGATCAGTTCATGTTGGACTTGGAATCAAGCCGGTGGAGCTCAATCGCTTTTAAGACAAACATCAAGCAGGAAGATCTTGAAAAGAGACTAGCTGATAATCCATGGACGGCCATTCCATAATCGTTCCATTTCAATGGGCTTTACTCACGAACATTTTGTTCTAATTTTTATATTTTCTCTTCCAATCTGTCCCCACATTTTGTATCCATTTGTTATTCTGTTCCGCATCACTTTCAACTATAAAGTATCGACACCTTACCAACTGTTTACACTCCCTTGACTCATCCTCGTGTTTGACCATGTATGGTCACTCCTCGAAACAAATTCTTCTCGTTACCACTTGATTCCTTTTTGGTTTCATTCTCGACTGACTCAGTGGGACTTCAATCCACCCAGTTTTGGAGTTGAACTATTGAAAATTGTTAACGAAAAAAAGAACAAACTGGTTAGGTTTAATATTCGAGAAGTGACGGTTTAGTAGTGTTCAGTTGAGTCATTCGCTTCTAAAATGGTTCCAATTTTCATTCTTCTGACTATTTTATATTCGTCTTACGGACAAGATTGCTCAACTCCACAGGTATTCGATTTCAAAAATAATCAATTCTTGGGAGACCTAATTTTTTAAAATTTATTATCTTTTCACAAAAACCGGAGCTGTGGAAGAGAAACGCGGAAAAGTCCCACAACAACAACTACAGTAACCTAAACATATTATTATTTTCAGGATTTTTTTCACTGATTTCGAACGAAATTTCGTCGAGTTTTCTGTTACTTTTCCCCAAAAAATCGTAAAATATAAAAAATAATGAAAACACCCGAAAATCGAGATAATAAATCCGAAAATCAAAAAGCGTTTTCAGGTTAGTTGTCGTTGTGGGTTCTTCAGCCACGACCACCGGCAATTCTCTTCCACAGCTCCGATTTTTATATTCCAGAATAATATTTGCGCTTCAGACCCTCTACACATGCTATATTTCATACCTTGGAAAATACGGAGTTGTCCCAGACGATGGTTATTTGCCTCGTTCTGAATTTTTGCTCACTCAAATGACAACTCATGGACTTCCAGTCATTTGCAAGTAAGTAGCTCGTTCCAGATTCATTCTCTAAAATGTTTTTCAGAGATTTCGATGAGCTGACTGGCTGTCTCGGAACTGCTTCTACATACTGTGTCAATTTCAATGTATTTTATAGTTATGCTAATGGGCAAGTTACCTCTTTCTTTCTTTTTCTATTTCATTCAATTCAGTCGAGATCCTCAAAGAGAAGCTCTCGCATATCTCCAGAATCATGCATTTTTCGAATTTGCATGTGGAACAGGAAAGGGCTTGTTCATGAACAACATCGACTGTCTCCAAAGATCTTTTGAACAAGTACCTCTCACAAATCGAATGCAACAGTGTGGACAGTCTAGTTTAGTAGTCAACGATAATTCTTGTCCGTGAGTTTTAAAAAGTTTCGGTGCCTCATGCTGGAATCGAACCAGCGACCTTCTGCACAGGTAAAGCGGAAAGTCCCACTAGCGGGCGAGCGGAGTCTAAGCGGCGAACAAGTCGCGGGGGAAGAGTGCGGCACGCCGGCGGGCCGCCATTCAGCTTTTTACGGTGAAAAATCGGACAGGAGCTCCGCTCGTACACAGGTTCTTATATTCTCTGAAAACTGAAAACAGTGGTTTTTCACTACAATTTTATTGAAAACTATAAAAAATTACAACAAAATGAAGTAAAAAATAACATAAAAGAAAACACATCGAGAAAATAAAAATTAAAGTTTCGCCTGGCTTGTTTTGCTTTTAATCTTCTTGTCCCCTTGCTTTCCCATCGAGTTCTCTGTCGGAGAGTTGAAAATTGTATACATTTTGAGACTTTTCGATCAGTCGAACCACCGACCACGTTATTTAACTTTTCGGACAGCCAAAATTTTATTCAAAAATTTTTGTGAAATTTTGAACAACATAGAAAAGGAGTTCTTATATTAAAATACGATATGAAAAAAACAGTAGTATGAAGAATCTCAAAATACCATTTAAATTGTTACAGATGGGCCACTTAACTTCTAATTTAGAGACAATTTATCTCGGTATCTGTAAAAGATATTGAAAAGTTGTCAACTGATAAAATTTTTTTCATAATATCACAAACATTTTCTCAGTAGACCACTTTTTTATATCACTTACAGTAACCGAGAAAGATCAGGTCAAAGTTTACAGTGTGTGGGCCCTTCTATTACAGGTTTTACGGTAAGCTTCAGACAAGGCAGGATTTCCATCCTTTTCAAATTCTTCATCCTAAGTTTTGAAGTATCTTCTGAACTTTGACAAGTTTCAAAATATATTATTTATCTGAAAATTTGCACTATTTTTCAAAGTATTCCGACTTTCCCCCGCCAGTTGCACGCCCGCGCCCACTCAGCGGCCGTTCAGCCGCCAATCGTCCGTTCAGGGTTTCAGAGAGGTTTCTGAGAAAAATTTGAAAAACGTATCGTTAGAATTCGATTTCTTAGCGATTCTGACAAAAATCTCAAAAAGTCAAATTTTTCCCCGATATTTTAGTAGCCCGCCGACGGGCCATCGTTGACCCTTCAGCGGTCTTCAGCCGCGAGTCGCCCATTTTTGCCACACCTGCGGCCGCTTAGACTCCGCTCGCCCGCTATTGGAACTTGTCGTTTTACCTGTGTGTTTACTAGACAGACGCTCTGTCACTGAGCCAATGAGGCGCTGGTTTTCCATGATCGAAAATACATATAAATTGTTCAGACCGGCACTTGAGGTCACCGACTGTGTGAGACAACAAATAGTTCAAGCTTGCGGACAAAGCGCTGGAGCTGCTGCATGCGGTAAGCGTATGATGTTGTTCTATGAAGTTATTGATTTGTTATCAGGTGCTGCGGCAAACATTGAACGTCGTCTGGATTTCCTGGATGCTGCATGCCTGACTGAAATGGATGCTAGATGCTCTGTATGCCAACTAAAAATTCTCACATCATTTATTCTTTTCTTTATTCACCGAGTTATTTTCAGTTGAAATAATAAAATCTCCGAAAAAAACCAAACAACTAGTCATGAAGAAAAATAAATCATGGCAGAAGAGAGAAACAATAATAAAAATGGGTCACCGAGATATTTCGGTAGAATGTTAGGTGGACAATGTACATGGAAAGCGCGTAGAATTCTGTAGGTTCAAATGATTGGAACAAAAATATCAATGGAAAAATTAAAAATTGAAATTTAATTCAGATCCCGTAATGTTATTCAGTTATTGTGGAAACAAAAGTTAAAGCTGGTTCGTAAGGTCTTCAATGAACTTCGTCACAAATTTCTGATTATCTTTTCTCCATTTGATGGTCACTTCTGAAGTCTCCTCCATTTTATCCAGTCCAAGTTCATTTGCTTTCGCATTTTTGTTCCGGAAACTTCTCAATTGTTCAAGCCCTCCTTGGGTTTTGAGAGTGCCAACGATCGAAGATAGGACCCGATGGAATCCACTGTGATCTCCGGCAAGTCTGAAATCAGCCGGTTTGTTGGAGTCCCGTTCAGAATATCTAACCTTATCATCATATCATCCCATCTGTCTATCAAGAAGTTGAGCATTGAATCAGATGTGGCATCATTTGTACAAATTTTAGAGAACAGGGTAGCAACATCTTGAAGTCGGAATGCAGACCCTTCTGGTTTCATGGAATCCAACAAAAGTCTAAAGAAAATTATAATTACAAATTTTTGATCCAATGTCTAACTTTTTGAGGGTCATGATATCTTTTGAGCAAGTTATTGCATTCATCAGATTTCCCTTCTCTACTTGATTTCTTTCTGTTTTGTACCAATGGAAAACTTTGTTGAAAGTTTCGGCATTTCCATTTCTGACTGCTTGGCAATAAGCTTCTGCTCGGAAAGGTGCTGCGATTCTGAAATTTTAGATTTTTGGGGTTTTTAAATGTTACGGCTGGACTCACTGTGAGCATTCTGACAAGATTCTAGAGGAATCACACTTGGAATTGACTTCATCATTGAATAATTTCACCATATTGGCTCCACACGATGGTTCTCCCATTCCGCAATCATTGAGAAGAATTATTTGAGCAGCGTTTCTGAAAATTAATCAATTGGCCGAATATTCAAAAAAAAATTCCCTTACACTTCAAAGAATTTCTTATCATCCAAATAATTTTTGGACACAAAATCGATATCTCTCTTGGCTGGAGTTTTCTCTGCTAGTGCAATCATGAACTTGTAAACGACATGTTTTTCTGGATCAGTTCCATACATGTCCACTAATTCACGGATCTTGGCAATTGTTGCTGACCATGGCATGTAATCTTTTTCGTTCTTCAGATAAGTCAACAACTGAAGTGGAACACTGTAGTTGAGAAGACCAGCACGAGCTTCAGCAAAGGAGTCATCAATCAAACGAACGCGAGTTTGTGTTGAGAATTGCTGAAATATGCACTTGAAAAGTAGTTTTGAAAAAAACACTGAAACCTCATGGTTCTCTTTGATCATATAAATAATCTCTTTCCACATGTCATCAGTATATCCAGCTCGATAGAATCCATTAGATTCAGCATTCAGAAGTACTGGTTTATCAGATTTAATTATGAGAGGCTCGTTGCTCTTCATCCATTTCATCTCGATATCCGAAGACCCAGCAATTTGATACCAGACAGGAACATCCCATTTGAAACTGAAAAAAAAAACAGAATAAGATGAAATTGAAACGTTTCCTAAATTCGCTTGTATCAACTCACTTCCAAATCGGATGACTGTATTTTTCTTCCTCTTTTCCAGATTGGAGAGCCTTGAATCTGCTTTGAGTCACCTCCAAATGTGTTTTATTCATTCTTGTAGCTTTCAAAAGGGGATATCCCAATTGTTTGGTCCATGGATCCATGAAAATTGAAATATTCAATTTATCTCCTTTCGGCCCAATGACATTGTCCGGAAGCTTATAGCAAGAGCCCTAATGAGATCAGAAGCCTCGGCATTATCGAATTGATGACGTGTCAAATAGTGATTAATTCCAGTGTTGAAATTTTCCTCTCCAATTGTTTTGCGAACCATATTGAGAACGGAACCTCCTTTGTCATATGTCACACTATCAAAAGAGTCGAGAACTTCCATAGCTTTGTCAATTTTGAATGTCATTGGATGGGTAGAAGCCACAGAATCAGCACCGAGTGCAGTCCAGAGAGCATCCATTGTGAACCATTCTCTCTGAAAATATATACGAATATATTAAAGTAGTTAGAATAGGGTTCATATACCATTCTGAAATTTCCATCGCTGATTTCATCGGTTCCGAGGTATTCGACCAAAGTGGCGAATCCTTCATTCAGCCATAAATCGTTCCACCATTTCAATGTGACCAGATTTCCGAACCATTGATGTGCCAACTCATGAGCAATCACCACAGCAACTCTTCGTTTTTGTGATCCAGGGTAGATTCTTGGATCGTACAACAAGGCATTCTCACTGAAACATGTCACCAGAGTTCAATTCGAAGATTAAAAAACTAACCGATAAGTGATGAGTCCCCAGTTTTCCATAGCTCCAGCAGAAAAATCGGGAAGAGCAACCATATCTTGTTTTGGGAGTGGGAACGAGATGTTATAGTATTGCTCATAATATTCCAAACATTTCACTCCAGCTTCCACTGCATATTTTGTTGCATTCTTTTCCTCTGGTCTCGACCAAACACGGAACTGAAATAATATAAAAATGTTATGATGTCTTGAGAGTAATCCTATGACTAACCCTAACGCCAGATTTAGTTGTTGCCTCGTTGTATTCAAACTCTGAAATAAAAATGGCCAACAAATACGAAGACATTCTCGGTGTAGTTTTGAAACTGGAGCTGATAAATTCCTCTTGAATATCTTCAGTCTTGTCTTCGATTCCATTTGCAACTGCAACAGTTCCTTTTGGATGAATCACAGTGACGGTCCATGTGGCTTTATATGCTGGCTCATCGAAACAAGGAACCATTCTACGCGCATACACAGGTTCCATTTGAGTTACTGCGGCCATTTTCACAGCTCCTTGACTGTTTGTGTAGGTAGTTTGATATAATCCAGACATGTCAGTACGAAGAGGAGCACCAAAGAATACCTGGAAAGAGATATTTGTTAATAATTAGAAATAAAAATATCAGGGTACTTTAAGAATAGCATCAGTGGTTGGCTCGACAGTTTTATCCAAATTGAAGAAGATCTTCTCGTAAGTATCTTGCTTATCATCGACTTTGAATGTAATCTGCTCCCCATTCACATATAATGTGCTCTTCTTCAAACGTTCACCAGTGAAATTCAAATCTTTTGAATTTAGTGTTATTTTCTTGATGCTCTTGGTGATGTTGAGTTTGATTGTCACCTGAAAATTGGGAAATGTTTACTGTAAAACCTGTAGAAAAACTTCCAACTCTTAACTTCTAGCCAATTTATCTCGATCCATGTTAAAGATACGAAAAAGTAGTTAACTGATAAACTGTTTACCATAATAACAATTTATTTGTTAGTTGACACATTTTCGATATCTTACATAGGAGCTGAGATAATTGAGCTCAAACTTGACAGTGTGTGACTCTTATATTACAGGTTTTACGGTAATTTAAATTGTTTTGCTAACTTCTTCTGGTCTTGCAAACACTACTCACCTGCCCTTCAAATGTCAAGTTCTTGCTATCAGCAGTATAGTTGTACCCAGGAAGATAAGTTTTGATCACCAGATCATAACTGATTGGGCTGACAGATGTAGGAAGTCGTAAATCACTTGCTGGAATCGCATCTTCTGGAGAAGAGGTTGTAGTTGGTGCGTCGTTTCTGAAATCAAGATAATTGATTCGGTTTTCTGTTAACCTAAATAACTCACCCAATATTTTTTTCGTATTGTGCTCGAGTGATGTGCCACGTGATAAAAGCGGTTATCACAATACCGAGTAAAGTACAGACGATTGGAAGAGCAAATGTCCTCACTTGACAACTTTTTTTAGTTTCTTTTGGAGGCGGATGACCCATCTGAAAATATAATATTTGATTCATGAGATACTATAGTAAGATTTAGGAGAAAACCTGAGAGAAGGAGTCATAGCGGTAGACAGAGGTCATGAATACACACAACAGCAATTAATGATAAGAGAAGTGAACAGTTAGAGTTGGAAGAGGAACTAGAGCAAGAAGAAGAAGTAGAAAAACAATAGGTCAAGAGGCGAGGTAGAACACGCAATCGTATATGAACAAAAAAACAAAAAGGGTTTTAAATAAACTTTGTTGAGTGCCTTACGGTTAGAGGAACAATAAGAGGATTAACGAGAGATGGTTCTGGTGGTAAACACATGGAAACAAAATGGGCTGGATGTGGAGGAGGAGCCCACTCGCTTTTTCTTTGCAATCATTTTTTATGGAATGGGAATATCACATTCATACGGAAAATGCTACACACATCTCTCTTCTTTTATGATCTTTGCCTTTTTCTGACAAAACATTACGAACAACACCACTTTTATCGAAAACTTTATGAATAAAAGTTTACAACAGAAGTGAGTGAAAAAAGTAGCATAATACAAATCATTATTGGTGAAAATTTAGGATTCGATTCGAATGATCGTTTTTCGAGAAATATACTCCTCGTTGCTCGGAAATTTTCTGAATTCGCGAGTTTCGTATATGTTTCTACGATTCAAAATTTTGAGAAACTGAATATTACGACTCTTTTCAAGTGCAGTCCAATCGAAACTTGGATCGAATACAAGTCTGGAATTATTAAGATATTTTGAAATCTAGAAAGAAACGTACCCTCTGACTTTGTCCTTATTTTTTGCACAGAACATTAAAAAACCCATGATATGTTTTCTTCCTGAACTATCATTTGTATTCAACCAATCAACCAGCTGGTTTGTGACTTCTTCATTTCGTTCGTTTCTCAAAGTCTCACAGAACTCTTTATCCGATTTAAAGTTTCTCTTAAAATAATCCCCAAATTGTTCAGATGGGTTACTGTAGAATTTTCTTAAGACTTTGGATGTATTCGTTGAAAAGCCCTTCAATAAATTGTTTTTTCAATCATCATGATACCGGAACTCACTTTGATAATTTTCAAGTCTTCATTGTTTTGTTCATTCAGCCTATTTATCATAAATTCGGTTGTTTTTAAAATGGTTTGTGCATATTCTTGAACAATTGGAAATTCGTCATTTCGCAGAGCGTTAGCAATGAGGACAAGACTATGAGGAGCTATCATCTGAGTATACGCATTTGATTCAAGGTCTAGCAGCAAACGAAGTTTGGTGCTCATTGAATACAGCTAAAAAATTTTTCGAGGATGATGCTATGAAACTGAAATTTTCTACCGTTGGGTTGTTTTCCAATTCTCTAGCAATTGATTGATACGACACATCATCATATATAACATCATAGTATCCATATGATTCAGCATTCACAATAATTGTTTTCTCAGTCCTTATTTCCAATTCATATTGATCCTTTTTGAACCATACGAGCTCATGACTACCCTCTCCAGCTACTTGGTACCAAATTGGAATGTCCCATTTGTATCCACATTCGTCATAATTTGTGTAATTCTTTTCTATGGGTGCTTCTCTATTCTGTGTTAGAACAACTCCTTCTGGGGTACGTGTTGCGAAAACTGTTGGATATGAATTTTGGTTAGTCCAGCATTCAGCAAATTCAGATATCGAAAGTGTGGTTTCATTGTTCGTGTTAGTTTTCCAAACGGCTTCCAATGCCGAATAGAGATAATCTTCTTTCACATTGGAGTACATATTTTGAGATAAATAGTTTCGCATAGCCTCGTAGAAATTAAGTGTTCCCACAATTTTTTCTAGCATTCGAATGAATGAACTTCCCTAAAAATGTTGTTAACACTTCAATGCTTTTTTTTGTCTATTTTACCTTTGAATAATAAATTGATTGAATTGTTACACTCCCATCTTTATCAAAAGCAACTGAACGAAGGGGGCGATACCTGTCTTTGAGTCTTGCCTCTTCTTGTTGTGATATATGAAACTTAAGTAAAGACATATGAGGAGTGGTCCAAGCGCAACTTACCGTATCTTGAGAAAAGTTTCCATCAATAAATGTTTGTCCGATTGCAGTCATGAAAGTTGCGAATCCTTCATTCAGCCATGTTTGATACCAGTATTTCATTGTGACCAAATTTCCAAACCACTGATGAGCCAACTCATGAATAACAACTTCAACAATTTCTTTATCGGTTCCGAGAATCAATTCAGCTCTAAAAATTTATCGATAAACTTTGGGTAATGTGATATCAAGTACCGATGTATAATAAGTCCCCAGTTCTCCATAGCTCCCGCTTCGAAATCGAAGACACTGACAAAATCAATCTTCTCCATGGGAAAATCAATACCAAAAAGTTCCTCGAAACCATCAACTGCGAGTCGACTAGCATTCAATGCCATGTCCACAGATTCAATGTTTTTGGGGTCAGCATAAACTCGAATCTGAAATTCAAAGGCTGGGTTTTTCGAGAATATTTAATTCTGACTCGAAGTCCTCTTTTTGTAGTGGTCTCTTTGAACTGAACATCTCCAACAAAAATTGCCAAAAGATACGAAGACATTTTGACAGTTCTTTTGTAAGTGGTACTTGTGAAGTCTCCATCCTCGATTGATTCCATATCAATTGTATTCGTCAAACCTACAGCACCGGTAGGATATGTCAGTTTAACTTGCCACGTAGCTTTGAACTGAGGTTCGTCGAAACAAGGAACCATAAAACGAGCGGAGGTGGCTTCGAATTGAGTGACAGCGTTGATCCTGTTAAAAATCAAATAAAAATCAGAAATTACTTAAATTAATTCTTACATAGGTTCTCCAGTTGGTTTTGTCGACTTTGTTATGTAATATCCTTTCCGATCCTCTCGCAGATATCCTCCAAAAGTTATAAAAACTTCTAAATTCTCACCGGGATTAACTATCTTGTTTAAGCTTAAAATAAGGAACTGATTGCTATCATTGATAGTCCAACTTTTGATTTCCAAATTATTATCACTCTGAATACTTGCTTCAATAGTTTAATCTTTTTGGACAACATACGTTGATAACTTTTGCATCTATTATCGTCAAATTGGATGAATGCAGAACAATTTTATCCATTTCTTGTCTGACTTCCATTCTAATAGATACTGATCCCAAATAACTCATATTCCTTTCATCTGCTTTCCAATTGTATCCTGGTAGATAAGTCGTGATATTGAGATCATATTCTACAGGAAAAATGGCAGTAGGAAGAGGAAAATTAGTATATTTAATTGTTTCATTCCTGAAATGTTAGTGTGTTAGTTGCAGCCGAAAATAAGTACCCAATATTTTGGAACTTACGTATTCTGAGAGTTAGTTAAAGTGGTTAGTATAAAAATTGAGAGTAGTAGTTTTTTCATTCTCACCAACAACTATCTGAAAATGTATATGAAAACGGTAGAAACCCAAAATAGAAGTATGCCCAAAAATAAAACAAAAGCGCGAGCGGAGCATGAGTAATCGCGCATTGATACTGTAAAATAATTGGAAACAATATTTGTTTACATGTTCTTTTTTAAAGTATAATATTTTCAAACATCTACACAGAAATATGTAAGTGACAGTTGCAACAAAATTAGCTCTAATTATGAGAAAGAGAAGGAGGATTTCATTCGAAATAAAAAATTAATAGGAAGAAAAATAGCTGTGAACATAAATTGTGTAATGAGGAATGTGTGATTCACTGAAAAAGAGAAAGAACAAAGCATCTGCAAATGGCATCTGAAGTCTTTTGTTTTCTTTGAGCGCTTGAGGTGAAAATAAACGAATGGGCAAACGGAATGACCGGAGCAACCGGACGAAAAGTGTGTGTGTTTTGGAGATTAGAATCAGTGATGATTTCGGATTGGTGTGGTCACTAATTACGGAGAAGCACATACTTTTTCACCATTTGATTGCAACCAGACAGGGGTTCTGGCTTGAATGCATTTATTTCTGTGTTGGGAAAAACTTGAATCAACTTGAAAATTCGTGGTCATGCTTTGACTCAATTTTAGAGATTCTGAAATTTAAAATTCAAGAATTCAGATAATCAGAAATTCGGGAACTTGTTGGAGTTTAAAATCTCAGAAATCCAGAACTTCAGAACGTCAGAAACCCGGAATTATAAAAGTTAGGAAAGCTCTAAATTCCTAATTTTGAAACTCGGTAACTCGAAATTGAGAAATTCAGAAGGTCTAAAATCAACTCGTTTTTTGCTTTCCTAGAAGAAGACAAAGTACATTTTTACAACGCTAAATTTGAAGTTCTGGTAGTGAAAGATATCAAAAAATTTAAAACGTTCGTTCAAATAAAAAGAAATGGATTCTGTCTTGTTTGATTGATGCCGATCTTTAGTTTTGGTTTTGACAAAGAAGATTATTCATTCTGCATTTTGGCAAGTTTATATTCCGAGACACTAAGGTACAACTACTGTATCAACTACACTGTATCAACTCAGAACAAGTATATGAAAATGGAGAAAAATCATGAGGGTTTTTCACCTTTTCAAGATTTAAAAATAATGGAGACTCCGCAAAGCATGACCACGAACGGATGGAGAATCCCAGCGACTGGTTTTAGTGTAAAGAAAAGATAGCTTATCATGGCAGATGTACGATGCCGCATGATACACTTTTTTGTCCTTTCATTTCACTCTTCTTTTTTTCAGTTTTACCTTCAATTTTGTTCTCTAGTCGTGTTTTATTCTACCACATATCTTATCCATTGAACATCACATGATTTTCTGAACTTTTAGGTGGCTGTGATTCCTGAGTCCGCCCGTCTGATCAAAACCAATGTTTCCAGAATTTTTCATGAAGTTTTTACACATCTGATAAAGCATGAAAAACGAGAAGAGAGATGATGTGAGGGGGCGAAAAGGTTTCAGATGGAGGAGAGAGATTATTTGGAAGGAAAAAATTGAGACAGAATTTAAAAAAAAAGATCCCGGAGGACTTTTTTGAACTTGTGAACAACTTTTTTCTCTTTTATAGGATCCTGAATTTTAACTTTATATTCAGGTTCAACAATGCGTTCTTGTTGTTATATGGTAGAATCATTTATCATAATACAGTGAACAATACGAAAAAAAAATAGGAACGCATTGAATTTTTTGAGTAACAAGAGGGAACCCGACTGTTCTGAAAAGGGTTGTTTAGAAAAAAAATCTGAAAAAAAAGAAGAAGAATATAATGCATATCAAAAACTCGATCAGTTAACAACAACTTGAGAAAAAGGGGAAGGAAATAGAACCTCGGAACACTTGAAAATGGAGATTCTTTATCGCTTTATCCATCTCTAAAATTGGAGAGCAAGCGAGGGAGCCCCTTTCCTTCTGAGCCCTAAGTTTTGACGAAGCTCGTAAATTCGAGAAATGGCCGATTGAAGGAGGGACCACGGGAGAGAAGAAGGAGAAGAAGACGATGGACGAAAAGACGCATGAAGTTTGGGATTTTGGAGAAAAGAAGATGAAAAAAGTAAATACCAGGAAGCTCAATTCGACTCCGTTCTTCCCGAAAAAACACTGAGAACGATTTGAATAGGAAAATCGTTCAAATCGCCAAAATTTCAAATCATCTCATGAATAACTTTATGACCGACCTAAAAATGAACTATGGAGATGTTAAAATAGCAAAGAACTGGTATCTCATATGACCAGGAACAAGTTTGATATGAACTAGTACATTTCATTTTTGTACTTATGAGGTGCATTCAAAATTAAACCGAGTTGACCCAAAATATAATAAGGAAATTGTCAAAAACTGAAATCATGTGATGTAGAACCATGAAGATCATCAGATCTCGAACGAAAAATTCCAACCAACAGTAGAGCCACAATTATAAAAAAAACAGTTGAAATGGTTGACATCAGCGAATTATCCCCGTCGTTCAGCCGAATTTCACTAATTTCCTTTTTTATAAAATACACACACACTACCACTATTCACAAACAAAACATATTTTCAAACTGTCAGAAAACTCTTTGAGGAAATTAAGACTGGAGCTTCATAGCGCGTTTTTGAAACTTCGAATATTTTAAAACCGAAAAAACTCGGAAAAACTTGATTTTTGAAACTTTGAATATCCTAATTTTCAAACTCCCGAGTTTCTGAACTTCCTTAACTCGCATTTTCAAACTTCTTAATTTCTCAATATCTAGATGTTTTTCTCGATGTTTGTTTTTTTTGAGATACTGATTTATTTACTAAATTTTGAGTTTCTCCGAACTTGAAAAATTCGCAATTTCGGTATTTCCATCTTTTCAATTTTTGATATTCCATTTTTGGACTTTCTGATATTCCGATATTCTGAGTTTCTGAATTTCCAACTTTTCAAACTTTTGAATTTTCAAATTTCTAAATTTCAAAACTTCCAAATTTTGAACTTTCGTATTTTCAAACTTCAGAATTTCCAAAAAAACCTGAGAATTTCCGAAAACTTTGAAGTTCCAAATTGGCGATTTTGAGAATTTTTGTTTTATTTTATGTTTTTTTTTCTAAAACTTATGATTCTATTTTAACAGTTTTCCATTTCAATTTTTTGACGATTTTTCTGGCACCCATTTCTTTAAAACAAACTGGTGTCCTCTTTTTCTTTTTTTTCTCACATTGCTTTTTGCGTATTCTTTTTTCTATTTGCCAGAACAACACACAGTGAAGGAATTTCGTCCGCAACGGCGCGTCAGTTACAATGTTTCAACTTTTGAGACAAACTCGCACTATGTTTCTGGAACCATTCTTCTCGTTCTTACGAAAAAAAACCCAGCGTTTTGTAATCCAACCTCTCTTTTTTTAGCTTAACAGCTGATATTAATGTCAATGTTGGTGATCAGTTGATGAATTAAAAAAGAAAAAAAAACTAGGCACTTCTTGACCAAGTATTTCCAAAATGATCCTTTACTTTGACTATTTTCTTGGGGTCTGTTGCTCTGGATACGCTAAATTTTCGGAAATCATCTGTGAAATTCTCATTCAATCCAATTGATTGGTTTCAATTTTCATTTGGAATAATTCTGGTACATAAAATCGGAGTTGTGGGAGTAAAAAGCATGTGGTCGTGGTCGAAAGTCCCAAAACGGCAACTAACTTTCCTAAAAAAGAGTTTTTCCGTATCTGGTTTTATCTGGTTTTTCTCTGCTTTTCGTCGAGTTTTCTATTATTCCTCCCCAAACTAGTCCGAAAATAACTAAAAATTTAATGATGAAAACATTGACTGAAAACGCTCGAAAAACGAGAAAAACAATACGGAGAACGGAAATATTTCTAGGTTACGGTACTTGTCGTTTTGGGACCTTCGGCCACGGGAACCGGTGTTTCTCATCCACAGCTCCGATTTTTTTTGTACCAGCATAATATTAATCCTTTGATTATTTTCAAAAACTCCCCCACTAAATGATATCACAGAAAAACCCTTCGATATTTATGTCTTAACTGGAGTGGATACTTCTGTTAAGAGTTTCATGATTGTGTGTTTTTCACAAAACCATTTGATACAGTAAACAATTTTTTAATTTTTCAAATTCAAGAACCTTCTCTGGAATATCTTGTCAATCTTTGGTTTTGAGCAAACAATCATTGATGCAGGAGCGCAAAAGCTTGTAAACAATGGTTTTGATACACGTCATTTTTTTCAGAGAGAAGGAAGAAAAGATAAGCCCAATAGAGAAAGAAATATGATTTTTTGGTAACATTTATATTGGACCTGATCAGTCTGTTTCTGGAAAATACATTTGCAAAAACCCAATCGATGGGTGTTATTCTGAACTCGACAAGATTTATGGGAGAGGTCACAGAACAGATGACTATCATCAATTGATGACTCATCCTGCCTTCTCGACAATGTTTCTATTCTGCAATACGTTTATTTCTCTCAACAAATAGATAAAATTGAATTCATGTGCTAGTGAAAACTGCTTCCTTCACCACTGAAACAAAACAATGTCTCTTCTATTATTTTTTTTAGATGGTTAGGATTGACAAGAGGCGAGAAATGACCTCTGTTTTCTCGTTTTCTTTCTTCATCTCATACTCTTTTCTCTATCATGTTCTTGTTTTCTTTTCCGCCAGTGTTACTCGCCGACGGAGTTTCGAACTTTCTTGGATGACGTTTCATTATCTTTCCTGAAAAAACAATTAAATGAAAACATGGACGGTTTCTTGTTCTCTCGTTACTTTCAAAGTTTGCACCCTGATTTTTCTGCTTCTATCATGTGATTCAAGACAAAGTTTGTTGTATTTTGTTCTTTCTAGAATCGACTGTTTTGTGCCAAACGATTCGATTTTCAGACCGATCCGAGAGTGTACGCAAAAACTTATTCCTGGCCTATGGAAGATGACCGTTTTTTGGATTCATCTTCTTCTACTTGTAGTTGTTGTAGCTGGCAAAAGTGAGTATTTATCAACACAAATCTACTGGACTTACATGGGATATGTTCAGGGTTTTTCGACTTGTAAAAAATTCACCTCATATAATTTCAGGCAATCTAAAACGACCATCGTTTCCGGATGATTTGTATCCAGCAAATATGACTCGCTTGGAGTTCCGTAAAAAGTGTTCTCTTCAATCAAACAAATTGGACTACTGCATTCTACAGTATAAAGCATGCGTCGGAACATTGACTACTGTGAGAAACTGCAATGCTAGATTCTGTTTATGCACAAAATCTACTGAAGACGATTTGGATGAATTCGATGAAGAATGCTCCCAGAACGATGCCTGCACTTCAGTTCATATAAATGGTCCGTTCTATAAGAATATAATAATAGAAGAGGAGACGAAACCAGCAATGAAAAATATTGAGAAGCATCTTAGACCGTTGTTTGAAGTTCATCAAGTCGTTGCGAAATCTTGCGAAATCGAATTGGAACTAGAATTGGCTGAAAAGAAGATGATAGAAGATTTCAACTCAACAACTCCTTTGCTGAATTTAACATTGGTATTAATCGAGGATCATGAAGATACTAAAGACTTTTTTCCAGAAACTCTTCGCTATCGCGAACGTCGAACTTCACAAAACCGAAAAGTGTCATGCTGCTTTGGATCAATATAGAAAAGTACTAGAAGATGGTGAGTTCTTTTCTTCAAATTTTCAATAAGTCTAGTCTGAAGATCAACAGAAGATCAAGATGGAATACAATCTCAAAAAATGGAACTAATTTCAGTTGATACCAAAACAGCCGGGAGTCTTCATATTCCCTACAATCTCTGGTTTGTTGGGGCAGAAATGGGCCCAATTGGAAGAGTAGCAACAAGAATCATAGCAGATGAAATGTGCCAAAAATCTTCCTGTAAGTCTTTTGAAGAATCTCCCAGTTCAGTTTTCATGTTTCAGTGGAATTCAACCACCAGAGTGTTTCTCGTGTTGCTTGTTATGATCAACAGGACGGACAGAAAAAGTGCGATGAGCTTTTTTCTAAGAATGTTAAGGTAATTGGGATTTTCAATAAAAATATGGTCAACTGTAACGATTTAATTTTAAGCGAACTCTTTCAATGTTGGACTCCAAAAAGATAAGATGCCAGATGTTTGTTGAGTTAATTGAAACACTCCAGTCAGCGCTGGCGGCCAAATTCTATTCAGAGGCAGCAGAATATGGTGAGAATTGGATATTTTAGAAAGTAATTTGTTTTTTCTCATTTTAGATGTGGACCCGTCGACAGTTCAAATTGGAGACAAGTTGTTTGAGAAAGGATTCGAAGCATCAGAAGATCAATCACTTACACAGAGAGGTACTATTTTTTCGTTTTTATCAAAATAGAAATCCGACTTCAGATACGAAATCCATAATAATCAGTTTGGAATCATCGACGAATACAACTTCTCTCCGCGTGAAGCAGTATTTCGAAAAAGTGTCGCTTGAATGCGGTAACTCAAGGAGTAAGTGATTTTATCCCATCTGTGTGCTCATCATGATGTACAGATTCTGCAGACGTCGTGGCTTCATGCGGGTATATGTATGCCAACTGTGTCCGGGAAAACAGAAAGAACTGCCAGAAGGATCTTCCAATCTGTTTGAAAGATATTGATGGGATGCGCCAATCATGCGAACATGCAATCAGCAAACTTTCTGATCTCCTTTGGCCGTCTTCGAAAGAGACACGAGGAATGGTTGCTCCTGTATCGGTAGATGATACAGAAGAGTCGTCATGGAGTATTATGAGCCCTACTATTCAATGGTCTCTCTTTTTCTTAGGAGTTTTTGCTTTCATTGCGATGATGGTTCTTATCATCGTGGTAAGAGGTACTATATTTAGTGATAAATGTTATCCGTAATTTCAGAAAACTCCGAAAACAAGAGTAACCTGCAAGAAGTTTTGTGGAGAAAATCAAACAGGCAACGATAATACACTGGAAGATCATGGAACCCTACTTCCGTCGGGCTCAGAAGCAGAAATAGCGATTTCGTCAAGTTCTGATGTGATTTCGTCCGTTTCGGATTCAGGAATCAGTTTGCCAAGTGCAGATTCAGAAAATTCAGGCATTGATATTAACAATGGTAACATTCCTATTATTGAATCGGCACTGAATAATAATCAAGATACTCTGACGAGTGGAGATATCAAATCTGAAGTAGTTTCTATTCGAGAATTCCCAGCAGTTCTTAAAAGTTCTCCGTGAGACCCAAATGATTTCATCTACAGGGTGGGGCAATAGTTTGGCAACAAAAAGAAGATGTCATAACTTCTCGGAAAATAGCCCAATCAGTTTCAAATTTTAACAGGATTTCATCAAAGAGATTTGTAACAAAGTTAAGTCACAGCTGTTTGTTTTTGTTCTGTTTCTAACGGCGGGGCTCAACTTCTTTGGGTTGCGTTTTGCTGGCACGGGGGTTGTCTGCCGGTAAATGGCTCCATTCCGTGGAAGAATGATTTTTGAGAGTCTCCAAAATTGTTTTAAAACAAACTTGAACACATGCTTGAAAATTACCTTGCACGAAAAGCGCCATCGTATTGTTGTCTGACTAGAGACAGGCCATCCTTTCTCGGGGATCAAAATGGAGAAATTGGCTTGGCACTCCTGCTTAACATGTTTTGTCGTCTGAGCAGGCGCTATGTCTTTTTGGAATGTCTAAATTTGCTATTCAAAGTCAGATTATGACACAGACAGTATGATTTTTACTAGAAGTAGTTTTCTTGGTACACTTGGAGACCAGGCTCCACCAAAAACAGCGTTTTTCCTCATTTCGAGTAATTCCTCCAAAACTCATGATTTGCTGAGGATTGGCTGCCCAGAGAATTAAAATATCATTACTGATAGATAGCCGAGGGCATTGTGTCTATACATGACAATTTTTAGAATTGAGTTTTGCCTCTAAGCTGAACAGTGTCTCATCAATGAAAGAGGTGGTCAAGCGCGTGCCAGAAAAACATCAAAGGATGCGTACAGAAAGTAGTGCCGTTTTCGTAAAAATTGAGGTAAGGATATGAAACTTTGCACATTTACTAATGAAGAGACGAGAAATATTATTAACATAAAAGCAAGGCCTGAAAAGTGTGCCGGCGCGCATCAGCTTATGTCAAACGTTTGTTGCCAAACTTTTGCCCCACCCTGTATGTGTAGAATTGTTCCCCATCCAAACCTTGCCTTCCGTTTTCATTTTTTTTTTCAGTGTGTGTTGACACAAACTCGGTTATTTTTTCATATTTTTAGGGAAAAAACGTTGAATCCATAACATAGTTACTAGGTAAATTTGCCCCCAATCTCATAAAAACCCAATCGCACTCATGACACTGGTTATTTCTACCTCTCATCTCCAAACCATCGTTCAATTGTTTATATCTCGTATGTATTTTGTTAATAACTTTGTTATCCTGTATCAGGAATAAATCATTGTTTTTTCATAGTCTTTTTTGCAACAGGACGAAAAATTATAAATACTTTTGAACGTTTCGATTGAAACACAAGCTTCTGTCAGATAATCCGAGAAGTTTTTTTTTAATATGAACGAAATTCTACTTAATAAAAAAATGCAGAAAGTACACATTTTTTGTTTTTAATACTTGAAGGTGAGCCATGAAAACTTTTCTCCTAAAGAAGCAGCCGAAAGAGAACCGACGAGTCGTCGAGGGACTGTTGACGGACAATCGGAACCCTTGGAAAAGAGACTTGAAAGTTTTGATTGGTAATGAGGCAGAAAACAATATTATATGCTTCTGCTAGATTTTGGAATTATGATCGAAACAAATTTCTCCACTTCAAAACATAATCGACTGCTAAAGGACAGTCGACTGGTCGATGACCGCTGTTTGGCGGACCGAATTCCTGCAGAATGAAAGTTTTGGTAAAAATTGCTTTTATAATATCAAACTTGGCCCCCAGAACAATCATTATAGAAAACTTCCCGGAAATTCTGATAATTACGGAAAATTTCTTAAACTTCTAGAAAACTGAGTCATTGACTGAGTTTGGAAAAGAGAGTCGCATCATTTTTTTTTCTATTTACTCATCACAGCCCAGTATAAAAACGAGGCTCAGGCGAGTTGTAAACATGCTGCACTGATAACTTTTTTTGTCAGGCACGCTCTTTCAGTCTAAAAGCGTATTTAAAACTTACCATTAGAAAACTAGTTTCTATACTGATAGTTCAATTTTAAGAACAGTGTTTTACCTTTGCCTATCAATTTTTAAAAATTGCTTATACTTAATCTCTCTGTTATCCATTTTGTTCATACGTTTTTCTTTTTTTTCAAAATAGTTTCTTTCTCACTAAAAACCTCCAGATATTCACTCTCAAGTTTTGGCGAATGACACAGTTCTTTTTCGAAAAAACCATCGAAATACTCTACGAGGACATTGTTTGCTTTGATTATTTACAATGACACAAGTTTTACTCGGCAAGATTTCCGTTTATCTATTTATCCATATAAATTTTCTTTCAATGATTCAGTTCTGGCATTATTAATTGTGTCGAGTTCTTTGAGAACCGATGAGTTATCCCTTCGAGAGCAATGCTGGAAATATTACATGGCTGTGAAACTCTGTACTCCCCAGTATGACAATTGTCTGACTTCGATAGGACAGGACTGTTATAAAAGTTTGGATATTTGTATTGCAGTAAGTGCTGTAAGGAATCTCTGAATCAGCCGACGTACCATTGCAGGAGTACAAGACAATAGAAGATAGTAGCACGTGTGAAGAATATCTTCAAAACTTCATTGAATTCAAAAAGAAAAATGAAACCAACTATTCTATGGAACTGTTTGAAAGGCATACTTTCAAGGATTCATTAATGACAAATAAAAAAGAAGAATGTAATGTTTCGGTTTTCGAAAATCACCATAATTTTCTCTCCAATGTTTCCCCCTATTCAAGGAGAATTTTAAAGGATCTTCCTAATCTAATACTTAAATAATGTGAATGTCCAGTACAGAATTCAGGAAACATAACCATGGGTGAGCAAATAATGTGATTTAAAAGATTCGAATTCATCTTTCAGAGATTTTCGCACAATCAAGGAAATCTAGTATTCCAATACAGTTTTACTACGGTGGACTAAAGAATGTGAAATGTTGGAAAGAAGTGGATCGATTGCTAGCAGAGACTCTGTGTGGAGAGACATCAACATGTTTGATTTTTTGTGATTTCGAAATAATGAATTTAAATATTTTCAGTCCTGATCAATCATGAATGGGCCAAGCAAGCTGACTGTCTTGAGGATCCCGCTTTGAATAATTGCACTTTGGCATTCAATGAAGGATTGCAGGTATCTATACTTCATTAAATATTATGCTTACAAATGCAACGACTTTTAGAGAGTCTCCAAGAAAAGTGAGAAACCACTTTTTTGTTTGGTTTATGTTGAAATAGTGACCAAGTCAATTCAGTTTTTCAATTCTACGTCATCCGGTGAATTGCCATTGTTAATCATCACATCGGAAAATATACCGGACTGTTTTCAGATTACAAAATAGTTTATGTAAAACTCGATTTCACAGACAGCATTCGTTTCCGTGATGATGAACTCTACCTGATCAATCAAACAAATCGAGATATATCGCTGGAATGCTTCCCAGTCAAAAGTTGGATTTATCATTCTTCAAATGTCATAAAACTAACTTTCAGGATCTCTCAATGCTTACAATTATACATTCCATCATTGTAAAAGACATTCTGTGTCCAAATGTGAGGAAGAATTTGTTGAATATCTGAAAAAAGATAAAGGAATAACCAAAAAGTGCGCTTCAGTGGTTTTTCCAAGGAACAACAGTTCTGGATTCCCAAAACAATTGGGGCTTTTTCTCTGGAGTCATAAATGGACATGTTTCATATTCTGTACTGTTACTGCCATTATCGGATGCTCGAAAAGCATCAGGAATTGGTTGGTAAAAAAGCTAGCTATCAAAACGTTCACCTATCTGGTAAGATTTTTCCTTTGACCTTTCTTCAAAAACTTCATCTTATTGCAGGCAAAGCAACTTGATGCTGCTACTAAATATTTTGACAATTTGTTACCCGCGAATGTTGCTACTCAAGGAGAGCCTTCCCAAATCGAAAGCAGCATTTCAGAGACTCAAATGGACGAACCACGAGACGACAACAACCAAAATGTCGATCAGAATGCTAGTCCTCTCCTACCTGTTGATTATCAGTGTTCCACGTCTTCACTGACTTCAACCTATGAAAACCAAAACGAGAATCAACAAGAAGAAAACCAGCAGAACAACCAAGACGCTTCGAATACTTTAGTTAATACTGTTTCAATCGAAAATCTCAAAAAAGGGAAAGCCGAAGAGTCAAAAAAGGAGAAATCTACATTTTCCTCAAGTTCAACCAATTTCCTTCGATCATTCCGTAACATGATATGTTCATTGACGAGAGTCACCTGGGCGTTGGGCATTTCTCCTGCATATATCTTTTTTCGACAATCTTCGTATCGTACTGAAAGGAGTTCAGCTGCGACCAAGAATCCTAATGAAAATAATGTAAATCCTAGCCAAACTGCGATCCTGATACCTTCTGATAATAATTAGTTGCCGCTGTCTACTTTCGTTGTTTGTGTAACCCATGATTTTTTTTTGTTGAACTTCATTTTTATTTCCGAGAAAAAAAAACAAGTAATTGTAAAAAAACCGCGTTCGAAAAAACGAAATGGAAAGAAGAGAACCACAAAACCCGAAATTTTCCAAATGATTATGCCGAATAAGTATCTGAACGACGTTATTCCTCCCTTGGATGATAGTTTTCATACACATATTTCGTTCGTGTTTTCACTGCATCCGTTAGATTTTTCTGATATTTTGCCGGATAATCAGTCATACTCATTGGCCCCATTGCAACAATTTCCTTCAACCATGTCTTTCCCCAATTCCACATTTGAAGATCTCTGTAGTGTCGAACGAGGCCTTCCTCTGGCTTTAATTCGTGAATATGATATCCAGGATACATCATTGATGGTCTATGAGTCCACATGGCAAGTACTTTCTCTGGCATAACAATGCATTTGACAGTGTGTCCTGGTGGTCCGATAGCGGAAGAATTGTGCCAACGAAGAGTCGGAGACCATTCATCAATCGGAAAACTTTAAAGTTTCTTTTCGAAAAAATACAAATTTTTACCTGTTTGTCTCCTTCATATTTTTCAGGCAAAAACTCAGTTTTCATAATCCATTGCTGCCTAAACTGAATTCCAGCAACACTATCATCTTTCACTTCTCTCAAATAATCAAGAATCGTTCCTGGATACTTTGTCATTAGCAGTCTTTCATCAATATCAGAAAAGAGACTCCATTTCGAAACATGTCGAGTTCTCAGCGTACAATCCTGAAAATTTATATAATTACCGAACCCCTTAAATATCGTATACCCTGAATGCGACGATTTGCCAGTGAAGGAGTTCTCGATCATTCCTTTCCAGAAAATGTGTTACTGTAGCTTCTCCAGTTCTGACGTAATCCTGTAGAAGAGCGTTACTGTACTCATCGATGTGGAATACATAGAAGTAGAAATGAGTCATTCCCTGAAATAGAGTTTTTTGAATTAAAAAATAGTGTCGCGTTGTACCTGCAGCTTGTAGTGTTCAATAATTTCTGAAAGTTGAAGCCATTTTGGTTCTTTTCCATAGATATTGGACATACAGAAGGAAAATTCATGATCGTATACTGAAAATTTACTTTTTATGAGATGCTCGATATCTGGATTTTACCTTTTTGTGTTCGATCAATTAGTTCTATTGGATAGGTGTAGCTGTTATTGGCTTGAGTACTAACGGATAACCGATGTGTTCCTTTTCGTTTTTGGCAGTTCACTACAAATTCTGGGAAGTTGTATGATTGAAATGCTGGCAGCATTTCTGTTCCATTTTTGCCAAAATATCGACAATACACAATTGCTCTGAAATTTTTCAATTAAAAACAAATTACCATACTTGTAATCCGGGCCTTTGCCGGGCCTTCGCGGGCCCTGGCATAGTTTCTCTCAGTGTCAATATTTTAGGACCACCTAAATTTGATATGATAGAACTCGACGAGTACTACAAAATGATACTACTTGGAAAACTGTATCTTGTCTATGAACAAAGTTACAGGCCATCAAGTGGCTTTTCCCGGACGCCCCGGAAGGCCCGGGCCGGGCCTGCTTTTTTCGCTCTTTTTCGCCTGTAACTTTGTTTGCAAACAAGATAGAGTTTTCCAAATAGTATCATATTGAATCTGACAAGGGAAGTGTTTTCAGACAGTGGTTGAGAATTTGTTCAAACTTTGGTCATTGGTACTTTTGGACACGCTGATCACAGCGCTGCTTTTATTTTTTCCCCTTGCCCCTCTCAAAAAAGTTATGGGGCTCTGAAAGTGATTTCAATAATAATAACAGTTTTTCGGAGTTTTTCGGAGTTTCTCGTTAATAACAGTTTTTCGGAGTTTCTCGAATGTAAATCGTACTTTTGAAAGTTTATCTACAATCGGAGAAAGTAGCCTCATTTTTCAAAAAAAAATTTTTTTTGAAAAAAAAGTCGCCATGGGGTACCCCCTTTGAAAATTTTTACAATTTTTTGAAAAATTTTCAAATGTGGTAAAATGATTTTTAAACGTAAAGAACCGATAAAAGTCTTTTCATGACATTTGGTATTCTAAATATTTCTGGAAATCACAAATATGTGCTTTCTTTAAAAACTTTAATGGGGTTATGCAGGTAATAAATTTGCAATAAAAATGGCAAATAAATACAAATAAATACTATGCACGTAT